TTACAGCCAATTACAAAAGCTTTTGATTTTTAAACCCGTTATTTTGCTTCCTCTATTAAGTTTTTGTTTTCTCGAAATTTTTAGTTTGAATTTGTTGAGGCTTACGGTCAAAATGTACGCTATGTACAGAGGTTTGATGACAGTTTGACAGCATGAAGAAAGACGAATGAACATAAACTAATATGCAAGTTTCCTAGGGTTACTGTACAATATGTAAGATAAACTTGGCAGATAGAATTTACAGTGATTCGAATACAAAGAACCAAATGCTGTAAAATAACACTTGAGCTTTTTTTTTTTTTTTTGTCGAGCGAACTAATCTAAAGAAGAAGAAATTACCGTCATTTGTCACTGTAAAAAAATTTTTTTTGGTCAGCTAACGGTATCAATCACACTGTTTTAGTTTTATCTCTTTTTTTTTCGTTGCATAACTTCTATGTTAATCAATGTTTACTATAATAGTAAAAATAAATTATAAAATTATCAACTAAATAACTAGTTTGTTCTTCTTTTTTTAAGGAAGAATTAACCGGCAAAAAAAATCCAACAATGACATACAATGGTTTACTGAAATCACTAAATGACGATGTCATCACAACTACGCTGAATACTATTCGACGTCGAGCCAGAAGTGAGTTTTTTGATCTCTAAGAACTTATTATTCTATTTGCTAACAGTACAAAACAATATTTTATGTGAAACAGAAGTCTGTTTAGCATAAATTTTTGTATAGTCACCAAAAGTTATTTTTTTTCTGAATTAATTTGCCTGAGCTTAAAACAGTTACTGTTGCAAACTTGTTGATGATAGAACAGTACTATAAAATGATCAAAAGTTCTGTAATATAACTGTTTTATGACACAAATTTTCTTATTAACTTAGATTTTCTTCTTTCTTAATTGTTGAAAAAAAAAATTAATTGCGCTACTGAGAATATTCATTGAAAAAATTGAATAAAATTTGGAACTATTATTTTATCAGAATTCAGCGAACAATAAACTAATTTTAGTTTTGAATGTGCAGAAACGGTGACAGTTAATAAAGGTCTAACATTAGTAAAATTTGCTTAGCAATACTTTTGCCATTTAAAGTTTTTT